AGAGAGAGAGAGAGAGAGAGAGAGAGAGAGAGAGAGAGAGAGAGAGAAATTGTATGCACGAAAGAGAGATACGATTAAATGAAGAAAGCAGCAATAAAAGAGAGATACATAGAATGGCAACCGCACCAAGGAGAGACCAAACTCGCTTATCGAAAGATAATTACTTACTTGCTTTTTATTTATTTTAATTATTAATGTTGATTTACTATTGTATTTATTGGCGCGGAAGGCTGAGGCACTGGAGAGAGAGGGAGGGAGACGCCGACAAAACTAGCGCGAGTGCTCGGTTCAGTACTACCTCACCCCTCAATCCTCCCACAAACAAGAATTTCAAGAAGAAAAAGACGACGATCGTTACTTAAGCAGACTTTCTTATTCCCGATAATTTAATCATGGAACAGTGTCGAGTAGAATATAATTCAAAATTCAAATAAAACATTAAATTAATTTGATAAAAATATGTCATGATTTGCAAGTGTAGAGACTTTATGAAATTTTATATTATTTTTTTTTTTTTTAAGACAATTTGAACATTTCTAAGTTGATTCATTTCATCGATGGAAATGCAAGTTTGTTCTCTGGTCGGCCAGATTCCCGCGTTCCAAGATTCAACGGAAAAAATGGGTTAATTTTTTTCATTTTTCATTTTCAATGTCTCGGTTCGCTAGGACAGTACATTTTTTACCGTTTGAAGTTCAATTTGATCCGTAAGAATAACAAGATCAAGCATTGGGCGAGGTGCGTGGGATTGGGGAAGAGGAATACGAGAAAGGAGAATAATAACACGAGGTAAAAAGACCGTGACAATATATACATATACATATATGTATATATATATATATATATTTGCAAGATATTTTGCGAGCAGGGCTTTTTTATCTATTTTATAGTAATCTCAGCTTAAGCAGATTAAGAGTTTAAAAAAAGTGTGTGTGTGTGTGTGTGTGTGTGTGTGTGTGTGTGTGTGTGTTTGGGTGTGTGTGATTTATGAGCAGCTGACGAACGGTTTGTAAATTGCGTACATAACAAATAATAGGTAAAATACCGTCGACAAGAAACGAGATGGTTCACTACGTCGTATACTCTACGTTTTGTTTGTTTTACGCCTTAGGCTTGCATTATGATTAATCTAATTATTATTATTATTATTATTATTATTATTATTATTATTATTATTATTATTATTAGTTATCACCATCATCGTCATTATCATTATATCCTTATTCTTATTATTAATTTTATTATTATTATGATTATTATTACTATTATTGTGTATATGGTATAAATTGTAAAAAGGAACGTATTTACTATAACATATTCATTTTACGGGATTTACAAGATCCTTCAAATGAACAAATTGTTTAAAATAAAGTGAAGGAATAAATAAAATATTGACCAATTAACGTATACCGTCTTGAATACGCCTTTATGTGTCCCGGTTGCAAGGGTTCGTTTCGTTTCTGTGTTTGAAGATTTCTATGCATTTCATATTACCATGACAGACTAATTTCTCTTAAAGATAATAATTTTCTCGGATGTCGAATAATCGTCGATATTTTCTTACCGATCGTGTACATGGTTACGTACAAGTAGCAGACGTTACTATAGTTAAAACTGTGGCTACAGCTTCTACTCAAGTAAGACAGGAAGGTCAATAAAAGACCTATTAAAGTCTAGCTTATCGGACGAGGTATTTACTAAACTACATATACTGGTAATGGACGGATCGATACGTTCGAATCTAGACCTACATAATTGGAGGTTAAGCGACGGAAAACAACTAACGAACTACCGATGAATTTACATGTTCTTCTTTACACAACTTAGTCTATCGTACGATACATTTTCTAAATTACATATCGAACGTAAATGTACGTACGTAAATTTAAATAAACCGTGCGATCGAAGAACGTAAAATTTTAAAAGATATTCTCATCCGTTGATAATATTTACGCCAAATCAGCATTTCCAGAATAAATACAAACGTCGACGCACCTAACCCGAAGATTAGTATGTAAAACGCGAACGTAAGGTCCTTCAACTTTATCACGTCGAAGCCTTTCTTTCCAGCGTCTTGTGCTCTTTCTCAGCCACTTGTGCACGTAACGAGTCATCGTCCCATCCCAAGACCGATCGATCAATCCACCTTGCATCATGTACATCAACAGAGAGCCGACCCTATTCTTTGGCTACCGAATGCTACTGTTCGGTTTACCGTAACTATAGTTATTTAATAAATTTCTGCGAGATGTCAGATGAAATTACTCTTAAGGTGGTTCTCTCCCAACTGTACTAGTTAAAACAAAACTGAAATACAAAAAGTATTAATAACGATATATTTT